CTAAAGAGTTTGGGGCCACCTCTTGACCCCAGCAGGTGGAGGAAGGAGGTTCAGGAGGGGACAGTGTGGGAGCGCCCTGGGCGCAGAGGCCTGGGGAGGGCTCAGGAGGCAGGAGGTGATGGGGCTGGGGCTGGAGTGGGGCTGGAGTTGGGGCTGGAGCGCCCTGCTGGGTGGGGTTCAGTCCCCCAGATCTCCACACAGAGACAGCAACAGACAACCCAGGTCCTCCTCCAACGCCCTGGGAAGTGACAGGGATCACAGTTCAGGTGCTGCTCTGTGTCGAGTCCCAGGGCATCTAAGTGGGCAGGGGCTGAAAACAGTGCTAAGTAAAAAGTGAGTGGCTTTCACAGGAGACCTTGGAGGGGCCACACCTGCGGCAGCGTGGCTTCCTGGTGGACTTTGCGGTGCCCACGGATCTTATGGACAGAAGCTTCACTCGCTCGCAGGATGATCGCAGAGTGCTGCCAGCGCGGCCGGCGCCTGTCAGGGGGCCCCAGGGGCTTTTCCAAGTCTGTTTCTTGGTGCTTCCCCCCGGACGTCCCTATTCTTTCCACCTCCTCAAAAGGTCGATTCCAGGAATCCTCACCCAGGGTACCCAAGTCCAGAGCTGCTCGGGGCCTTGCCCAGCTGGTTCCTGCCAAGATTCAGTACCCAGCATGAGGCTGGCCCATGGGACACCTCTGCTCTCTGCCAAGTGGACAAATGTCCCTTCATGTCCCAACCACTAAAGTGTCAGCACACTGCTGCTGCTGCTGGGGGTGTGGCATCGTCTGTCACCCTGTGGGGAAGGATTACTGCTTCAGGGACGTCCAGTCTGGAACTTTGTTTTCAAGAACTTTAGTCTCAACTCTCAGCAGGTATCCACCACGGAGCTCACCTGCTCACCGATGACTGCCCCGCCATGAAAGGGAGCTGTGTGGAGGTGCCAGGGGACACTGGGAGTGACGGACTGCAGCAGCTCAGGGCAAGTGGCTCCCTGGGAATGCAGGCTACGGAGTCCCCTCTTCTGGTTTGCCTACAAAAAACTTCCTGTATTTTAAAAGCACCCTGGGCCAAGTTAATCTGTTGGTAGGCTGCTGTGGGCCACACAAGCCCCCGCTTTCATTTTTTAAAATGGACCGGAGCAGTTCAGACTTGGACACAAGTGGTGTCTGGTTCGGGTGTGATCACACCATGGGGCTGGCACAGCCGCCTGGGGCGCTCATTCATTCCTGGCAGCCCGGGGCGTCCACGGGGTTATTACAAGTTTGCGCTAAGTGGGTAAATGGTGTCCCTGCAACTGCAATTTCTGTGGCTGATTAACTCGGCAAGCATCTTCCCTGCAGTAGGACAAGGCCTTGGTAAGGATGCAGGCTACGGAGGATTTGGACTTTGGGTTATGGACTCGAACATGGGCAGATCACTTCACACGCTGCGCCTCCTCTTCTCACGTGTCCAGTTGGGGTTACATCTGTCCCTACCTTGTAATGGCATCAAGATCATCAAGGGAGACAGTCCAGCTCAAAGCACTTAGAACTGTGCCTGGCAGCAAAGCACTCTCAGGCCCGGCTGCCACCTGCTACTCTTGGTCTGGGGAGGCGAACCTCACTGCCCATCTCGGCTCCTGGTGGTGCAGGAACTAGCCACTGCGTGCCAGGAAAGGACCAGGCAGGCCTGGAAGAGGCAGTGCCAGGGAATGGACCAGCAGGATCAAGGGTCAGGCTGGAGGGTCAAGAACGCAGTCCTCTTCCAGGAGCACTCTCTGTGACCTGGTGATTCTTCCTACAGCATCTAGCCAGGACTTTCCCTGGGCCTCTCTACATGGCCTAAGCCAGTGGTTCTGAAACCCACTGAATGACCTGAAGGGTTTGTTAAAACAGGGTGCTGGGTCCTGCCCTCAGAATTTGAATTCAGGAGGCGGAAGAGGGAGCCAAGAATGTGCACTTCTAATAAGGTCACAGCTGTGGCCGCTGCCTGGAGTACCAACAGTCTAAGAAATTATGACAACGGTCAGTCGGGGTGTCATGGAGGTGAAGGTAAAGCGTCAGTCTTTGCCCAGTGGAGAAGAGGGGCCTGGGGGACTATGCCCTGGGACTGGCACTTGGGAGACCAAATCTGGGTTCTCCTTGGGCACTTTTGTCCAGTTGGTGTGGGGACCTGGGGGAGATGAGGTCAGAGCAGGCAGCAGCGTGAAGGGTAGGGTAGGGGGACAGGTCAAGTCTGTGGGGCTAACTGGAGAGAACAGGAGGTCTAGTCCAGAGGCAGGCCTGAAGGCCAGGTCTTCAGCCTGTCCTGCCTCTAAAACCTGGGGGGGACTTCCTCCATGAGGCATTTCCCAAATTAGGGACTGAGACTCACAAGTCAAGTACCGTGTGGCGACAGCAATTTTAAAAACCGAATTGAAAGAGAATAGAAGAGTTCATCACACCCAACACAGCCGTGGTCTCCTCGACTGGTTCTGGGCCTGTGTGCGTCCCTGTGCTGGGTCATGGTCTACGTGGGTCACAGCCTGAAGGCTCGGCTCACAGACCCAGAGGGGTGGCCTCTTCCTGCCGCAGCAGCTATCACAGCCTCTACCCTGGTGAGATGCTGACCCTAATATGGGGGGCATGAGGCCTCCAAATCCCCAGAGCAGCAAGGGCTGGGCAAGAGGTGGAGGAGAGCCAGCCGAGCCCTAGAGGGGCTCCACAGAGGGCTCTGCCCCAGGGCATTTGAGAAGAGGGGAGAACTCCTGCAGTCATGGGTGATGGGAGCTGTCAGGGAGCACGGAAGGCCACAGAGAGCTCGGACACCGACTCAGGGGTCGGCTTCATCTTGGGTACATCAGGGTGCCATAAATGTTTGAGTGGGACAGCAGCTGGAGGGAGACCTTGGGTGTGACAACACTGGGTGGCTCACCCAGCACCTCCATCCCCAACCAGGTAAGAGACACCTGAGAGTTAGAGACCCTGGAATCACCAGCTTGGACTGTCAGTCTGGCCACAACCCCAGCTCCTCTTTAAGTACAGTCTTCAAGATGCTGTCACTGGGAATTTCGGTGGGGAATTATTTTCCCTCTCATGGGGACCATTGTTTCCCACAGAGCAACCCAATATCATGTCTATGTTGAGGCCTTGTTACGCTCTGATCGTCTCAGTTCACACATTAAGAAGCAGGTATAGCTCTGTCTGCTTGGGGACACTGAGGGCCCCAGACTGCTGGATCAATGGCTCCTTGCATGAGCTCTTTATCAGAAGCTTCCAGCATTTCGGAGTCCAGACACTGAAAACATGGCGGCCAAGCAGAGAGCAGTCTTGCACTGTGGCCCCACCTTTGAATATGTAAGTTTCCTATTCTATCTAAAGGAAACTTTAGAAATTTAAGAGATCGTAAGAAATTTAAGCAATTTTCATTTAAGAAAATTTCACATTTAAGAAATTTTCAGAAATGCACAGGAACAGAAATGGCGGCAGAATTTAGAAGACAGCATATTGCAAAAGCCCATGTCACTTTTGCCCACCTCTTTCCTAAGCTGAAGCCTAATTCTCTTTTCATCCCGGGCACCGACTCACAGGAGGCCTTGAACATTCCACAATGTTCATGGCTAATTGTACTGCGGAACTGCCTGCTCCCTCTTTTCATGCCACGTACGTACAGAACACCAACAATTGCATCTTATTTCCTCTCATCCACCTTGATTGAGGCAGAAAAAGGATAAACAGCAAGTGCTGTTGCAAATATCCATCCAAAGTGGTAATTATTGCATCATTATATTCGCTATTTTACTTGTCATGTACCATTAGAAGGTAACAAGATCATTGTCAGTCAAAGATTGTGGAGATAATTAGAGCATCTATAGGTTAGCGGGGAATCAGATTGTGCTGGTACCCATCAACGCCAAGGCGCCGAACGTAATTAGAGAGAAAATATGCAAAGGTTGCGATGAGCGAAGCCCTGGGGATTAAATACCGTGACTGATTTGAGAGTGACTCTTCCACGTCCTGGCACTGCAGATGGAGGCCTCAAGCTAGGTGTGTGACAGAAGACAGGCAGTTCTGCTGGGAGCAGTGCATCCAGACGCCACTGGCTGCCCATGAGGCCCTGAGCAGGGCACAATTTGGAGAACACGCTCTACCGCGTTTTCCAATCTGCTGGGTTTTCCTCCCGTTTCTCCAGCCTGGGGGCCGGCCGTTAAGGCGTGGGACAGTGGGAAGTGGGCTTCTGCTCACCTCTGGCTGCTAACACCTCGGGGCCCACCAGGAGTCTTGTCAAGGGTCCCAGGATGTCCCCTAGCACCCCGTCACCACGGATTCAGAGTCCCCAAGTCCATCCACCCCCATGTCCAATGCCCGCCCAGCAGCCACCTGGCCCCACCACTAACCATGACTGCCGTTGGGCTTCTTTCCCAGTAAGACACAAACACCAATCCAAAGACCAATGTCATCAGGTTGATACGAGAAAATTTAACAACTTTTTACATCGTGAAAAAACAAAACAGGTTTAGAGGACAGAGGAGTCTGTAGACCAAGGAGGGGTACACCATGACGTCAACGAGACACAGGGGAAATGCCGGGGAGCAGCACACGACGAGTCCAGGTGAGGTCAGAGGAACGAGCAGAGGGCACTGTCCTCACGGCCCCCCCAGGCTCCTCGCCGATGGCCACAAGCACAGGCTTCTGCTCTGAGTGTGGAAGTAGGGTCGGGACACACAGCACTGGCTACCTGGGCCACACACGTCCTCGCCAACATCCAGAAGTCCCTTCCTGTGAGTTTTACAGCATTTTTGTTTAAAATACACAAATGAAAAAAAAAATCCATAACCCATGTGAGGGGGGAGGGCGCAGATGGCTACAGACACTAACTGGTGGGAGGCTAACTGAGCCGGGGAGGGCGCCAGCCACCGCGGGAGAACCTCCTGGTCTCGCGCGGGCCGGGTTCGGGCTCGGGTTCGAGGTGCTTCTGTCCGAGAGCCTGGTCTTGCGCAAGTGTGGCTTCTTCCCTAAGAACCGATGGCCACTGCACACAAACAAGCAGCTGGAAGCTTGGTTCACATTTTTTAATAACATGGCACAGTTTACATTACACAAGAGGCTCCGCCGATGAGAACATGCTGAAGATTCAGTTGCTTCACTTTGCTTTTCACACAGGGTCTAGAAAGGACTTTGTTACATACAGGATAAACAGCAAAAGGTCTGTATAGAACAATCTCTTTACAATACTGAAAGCTACCACTACAGTTCCAGTGTACATATTCCTTGGATTTTTAAAGTTGTTGTCTTTTAAAAAAAAAAAGAAAAGAAACAAAACAAAACAAAAAAAAAAAAACCCAAAAAACAACAAAAAAAAACCCAAAAAAACAAAACAAAACACTGCACAACATCTGGTGTTCACAAAATCTGAAGCTCACAACTAAACCTTCAGTTTACTACTAAAATAGATCTCTCTGCTTATTAGAAACAATGGTCTGTAGTTAACTTTTTTTTTTTTTTTTTTTGCAAAAACAGGATAACAACGTCAGATAGCACTTTAATATACTAGAAGACCAAATGGAACTAATTTTATTTCATACATGTATTTTACAGTCCAGTAGACAAGATATATTGTATTTCTCTGCTAGTAAAGTCATATTCTCTCCAAATATGTAGACAAGAAGTTTAATGTATTATAAAAGTATCATGAAGAGACATTAAAATTGATGCAAACTCAAAAACACACGCGCACACACACGACTTCTCCTCTGCCACCTGTCACCTCTGTGAATCTCGATGGCTCTGCGAGGTCGACCTGTCCCGGCTATGCCCAGACCTTATTACTGACTAGAGTACAGTGCGTCGCGCTGGGAACCCGCCTCACACTCAGCCGTTTCTGAATACAGTGAAAACATATCCATCATCTCAGAAAACGCGAAGCTTTCTTTCAGGATCTGTTTGGGTGTAATTAAATCGCACTGCAAAATGAGGAAGTGTGTATACATATGAAATAGGACACACTTAAAAAAAGGCATGGTTCCCACCAGAGGCGTGTGAGGTCGCGTGACTGGCGGTGACCGATTCTGGCGGCCTGCTCTGTCTGCCAGACACTGCTGCCGGCCCCTGATTTTGGCATCTGACCAATCCCACCCTCCCTGGCACTGGTTTGCCCTTCCTGGGGCGCACCTGCCCCTGAAGCCCACAAGCAGCAACTTCAGATGCAAAGTTCCAGCCTGGGGTCCCCTCTGCAAAATAGGATGTTTCTCCATTTGAAAAAAAAACAAGCAAGGAAAACAGAGTCATATCACGTAAGCGCTTGTTCAGGGAAAATATGACCTTAAGTATGTTGTAAATGGATTTGAAAAGGCTCCTTTGAGTTAGGCGGGCTTTTGTGAGAAGCCCTAACGTTCATTGCATAGTTGAAGGGTTTAGCTGTCTCTAACAATACGGGGAACACAGCCTTAGCAGGCCGTGCTCACTGACATTAGGTTTGCAAATAGCACATTTCAAGAAGTAGTAATGTATTATGTTACTTAATCTTTATCTATTTACATTTGTACAAAGTAAAGCTTTCGTCTCACCCTTTGCATATATGAACCACCAGCTCATGAAGCAATCTCTTTACAGGACTATGTACACGGCCTTCCCTTCCCATCTGAAAGAGCTCTGCGTGATGGATGGTGTGGGCTCCCCCGTCCTCCTCAAATTGGTGTGTGTTGTCATCTTTACTGTTTTGGCTGAAATCAAGAAGTTTCATACAAGGAACAAAGAGTAGGAGACATGAAAACATATGACTTAGCTAAAGGATCTGAAAAATTCCAACATAGAATATACAAAAACATTTCTAAATCTGCACGGAGTCTGTACATGTTTTACAAGGGGAGCGGTGGGGCTGGCCACCGCGTCTGCGCGGGGTGCAGGAGTCCTCCCTGCTCTCGGGGCTCCCTCCGCTCGTCCCCTTACCGCGCCTCGATGTCCTTCAGAGTGTGGGAGGGCGGCCGCTCCCTGATCTCCGTGGACAGAGGCGTAGTCCTGCGCGGAGACACCGGGCGGCCCCCTAGTGTAGAGATGAGCGGGGGCGGCGCACTCAGCGCCGCTGTGGGGGGCGTCTTGTTGAGCAGTCCATTCTGGTGGCCCGCCGTGGGGCTGATGCGCGGGTAGTGCATGCTGGGGAGGCCCGGCGTGAGGAGGCTGGGGTGCGGCAGGTGGCCGTCCAGGGAGGCAGGGTGCACGGCGTGCAGCCGCGGGTGCTCGTAGTCCTCGCGCAGCACGTGCAGGCGCTCACGCTCGTCCAGGTGGCCGGCCCGCTCGTGCTCCCGCCGTGGGTCCACAGCCAGCGGCGGGTGGTGGTGATGGTGGTGGCTGTAGTCGTGCGGCTCGCGGTCCCGGAAGGATCTGTCCGCCTCGTACAGCCGAGGGGCCGACAGTCGGTGCAGTGGGTCGCCGCGCAGCAGGAAGTCCCTGGCCAGTGGGTCCCTGCGGTGCACGTCAAGCTCGCGGTAAGGGTCCCTCAGCGGGTCCCGCATGGGGTCCCAGTGGAAGGACGGGTAGGGGAAGCGCTCCCCGCCCGGGAGTGGGCTGAGGCCCATGAAGGGGGTCATCATGCGGGTCCGGTCCAGGCTGCCGATGCCGCCCATGGGGTGCAGGCCCGCCACGCCCACCGCCATGGGCACCGAGGCCAGCGGGCCTGCGTGGGTACCCGAGGCTGCGCCCGGCGGCTCCGCAGCGCGAGGTGGCTGCGCGGGCTCCGCAGGCAGTTCGTGCTCCTCCCTGCGCTCCTCCTTGACCTTGACCTCGGCACTCTTCCGTGGGTTCTCATAGGCAGGTTCGCCCTTGCGCGGCTCGGCCTCGCGGCCCGAGGTGCTGCCCGGCCGGGCACTGTCTAGCGCGGGGTTCCGCACGTAGGGCGACGGCGCGCGCGCCAGCTGCTTGGCCTCCTCGCCCGCGGCACGGGCCTCGTGGCCGTGCCCGTCCTTCTCCGGCGCCGGGCCCTCCTTGGCCTTGTGCTCTTCTGCCGCCAGGTCTTTCCGCGACTCCGGGTGGTCTCTCTCTCTCTCTTTGGGTTTGTCCTTCTCGCGAGCCTCTGTGTTCAAATGACCCCTGATCTGCTCGGTGGCGCTGCGGCTGTGTCCCAGGGCGTTGGCCGGGAGGATAGGTGCTGGTGAGGGGTGGCTGGAGTGTCTCTTCTCCACACTTTCTCTGCGCAAGGAAGGGGAGACAAGCACGCAGGTGAAACGGCCTGTGGCTGGCGAGGGGCTGCGATGAAATGGCGGTGTGAAGAGGACAGGCTGGGGTGTGGCCCCCAGTCGCCGGGGCAGTGGACTGCCCCGAGTGGGGCAAAGCCGGCCACCTGACCTACCTGCCTGGATTTCAAAAGAAGCTTAACAGGGACAAAGTACTGGGGATGAGGGTGAGTGGAGAGTGGAGGGGCTCATCCTAGCTGTGTAAGAGCCACGGGCCTCAATCAAGGCCAAGACTGGGAGGAAGCACTGTCCCAGAGCCAGAGGGGGCCCGCAGGTCTCTAAGCCAGAGCTGCGGCCACAGAGCCTGCTGCCCAACTTCTCAGGGTCCTTTCATGTTAAAGGTACATTCTAAAAGCCCAGAGCAAAGTGACTCCCAACTGGCCGCAGTGCCAGTGGAGAGTGGATGTAAACATTGAAGGAGTCTCTGCCTCCTGACCCTCAGAACAAAGGCCAGTTTCAGCCAAAAGGCCGGGGACAGAACCAGCACCAGGGGGCCAAACAAGGAGTGGGAAAGGAATCCAGGGACCCAGGAATCTGGGGCCATACCCAACACTGGGCATTAGGTCAGTAAGAGCCAAAGTCCCAGGGGAACTTGGAGGCCAGCAGTAGAATAGCAGGCTGGGGACACAGAACATCTTGAGGGATATTGAGGATAACTTTAGAGGTCCTTCAGTAATGAGAATGTGAAAGGAGAACACCAGAGACCTAGTGTGGACGGGAACTTCTGAGGAGTAGGCAGAAAACGCAGAGCAGAGTGGCAAGAAGGTCAAGCCCAGCTGAGATGGGGAATCACTCAAGGCTCAGGATGCCCAGACAGACCTGGCCAAAGTGAGGAGAGGAGAGACACAAGCTGTCTCCAGGGCTAGAAAGAGAGGCAGAAGACCAGGCGGCCACGTGGGTGAGAAATGGACGTGCCCCTGCACCTTTGGGTTCCTAAGCTTATGTGGAAAGGCCGAGAAGAGTGACCTCAAGGGGAAGACAGAAGAGGAGATTTTATTAAGCTTCCTGACTTCCATCAAGAGGCCATGTGAATCCGTCAAGAGCGCCCTGAAAGGTGTGTCCTACTCAGTGACAGGTGAGCTGGACAGCCCGGGGTCTAGAGCTGGTCTGCTGTGGCCACACCCCACTTTAGCCATGTATAGCTCGAGCTGAATGCTGTCCACGTTGGCCATGGGTTCGGAGATTGTTATCATACTGCTCGGGAGGAGGAGAATTTGTTTCTTTTGTACAAAAGAAATCAACCACTCTACAGTGACAGCCTATGACGAGTATCCTGTGATCTGCCACACAGCCTGCAAAGGCAAACTCAGTCACCAGTACACATCGCACACAAGACACACAGTAAAGAGAAAGTCAAGATCAGGATCAAATTTCAATCCTAAGTGCCAAAAGGACATTGTTAGACATTTCTGTCAAGCATATCTTGTGCATCCCTTATCAGTGCATTTAAAATGAAAGCAGCCTGAAGAGGGAGAGACAGGTGGGGACGAGGTTAAGAAGGCTACTGACATTCTTCAGAGACAACACAAGACTTTCCTCTTCAAGAGAGCTTCCTTTTTAGGCACAAGTTCCCAAGTGCAGAGACATCAGTGATTATTTAAAGCTGCTTGTCCACCGGGAAAACCAAACCAATACCAAAGCTTCTTTTTTGGACGCATCTCTACATTTGGGTTAGTAAAATTTTATTAGTCATCTGTGAGCCCCAGACTTTGAGTTTGAACAAAACTTGAGAAAAATATGATGAGGAAATGCAAAGATGATTTTCTAAAAGCAAACAAAAAGAGAGAGGAAGAGAGAAGCCTATGGATGGGTCATGGGCTGCGCGAACTTGAAAGCAAACATGGCGTTGATTCATGCTGTGTATGTCTGGCCCGGAGCGCCGGCTCGCTGTGTCACAGAGTCGGGCTTGTATGGGGATTGCTAACTCTCAGGGGCTCGGGAGCTCTCTGGGTACTGCTGCCACAGGGCGGGCGCCCTCCCTGGGCTGTGGTAGTGCTGTCATGGTCACTGTGCCACAGGGCACTGGGACTGAGGGCCGCTGGCACTAGCTGGCTGGGAGGGACCTGGGGCTACGGGGTGGCTGGAGCTCGAGGCTGGGACAGGAGGGTGGGTGGCCGGTTCCACTGGCACAGAGCGGGCTCCCCCATTGGGACTCCAGAGCGGTTTCTTTGCATACCTTTCTTTGTCATCTTTACTAACAGATGAGTCCCGTTTATCTACATCTCTATCTCTGTCATGAGCTGCAGCGGACGCGCTGCGCTCCAGCTCCCCTGGCTTCAACCAGGGCGGAGGGGTCGGGAACGACGGAGGCGTCCGGTGCAGCCGGTTCCAGGGCTCGTGAGGGTGGCTAAAGCTCTGCACACTGGGGCCATCCTTGTGGCCGAACACTGAGTTGGGTGCTGAAATGGCGAAGTGGGGAACAAAAAGTTTGGAGAGAGATTATACGACCTGCTGTGACGGGGTACTTACCAAAGCCTTCAACAGCACCCAGAGTTAAAATGAATACATGTTATTGGGAGCTGGAAGGAAAGGAGATCGACAGTCATTAGAGGAGCTCTGTCCTGCCCCTGGAGAGGCAGTGCACAGCTGTCTAAAAGTCCAACCCAAAAGCAAAAGTGGGGGTGGGCAGGGGGGGATTAAAAATGAAAGGGACCAACAGGTGTCAGGATAACCTGATCACACGTATCTGGCGCATGCAGAGGCTCTGAGCATGCAGAAGGGCGGCTGTAACGGTGCATGTCATCAACTAGGAATCCTGTTTCCTCTCCCTGCCAGACCCTGCCTCCCGTCTTCCCAACATGGGCAAACTACAGTGAGCCCCGGAGACCACTCAGGACCTCAACCTGAACACACGCAGAAGCCCTCCAGGCTGTCCCTTAAAGAGCCCTCATTCACTGTGGCGGTGACCTAGAGCTACACTTTAGGTCTCCTCTGCTCCCCAAATAGGAACAGATATGTCTGCAAGACCACCAGCTGCACATCCAGAGACTGCGGGGCTTCCAGGACACGCAGGGCTGGCAGTCCCTCCTACTAGAGATTATTCAGTAGCAGAGAGCTGCAGGGCTCTCCAGGTCACAAGGACGTGCCACAGGTCTTGATGGCTCTAGGCCTGGTTCTGCAGTTCTTCACTTCACTGTTTCAACCCCATGGGAGCCACAGGTGCTTTTGCTTCTAGTAGAGGCTATGGCCAGCCCTTGGGTGGAAGAGATGGGAGTCAACTGTTTGCAGCCATCAGCTACATCACTTTCCCTGGCCCTAGGGATGGACGGGACAGTGGCCTCCTTAAACCAGTGGCTTTGCACACGTCCACCAACTCCACTGTGTAAGCCTGCCATTGGAATTATATGACTCCGAGTTCATTCCCAAGAGTATACGTTTCCTTCATCTCGGAAGGTCTGGTGTCAGAGGAGAGTCCAGGCAGGTATGGAAAGCTAGAGGTACTCACTAACTGACGGGTTTCCAAGTCCCCCGAAGGCATTGCCACCAACCGCTGCTAGGCCTGTGAAGGTGGACGGCCTATTGAAAGGCTCTGCAAACAAAGGCAGGAGGAAGGAGGGGCTCAGATTCCCCAGTGGGACAGGAGCAGCGGGGTGAGGGTGGGTGGGCGAAGCAAAGCCAATCCCCGTCCCACCCACACCTGGCTTGCCTTCCTAGTGGGGTTGGTAAGTACCCATGAGGACTGCGTCCCTGCCCTGCCTAGGGACACAGGAGCCCCATGCTCCAAGGTGCCTTCCCGCACCTCTCCCAGGAGGGTACTCTGCAGCCTCTCGCTGGACAGAAATAAGACCACCCCTTACGTTCCCAGGGGTGAAGTCCTATTATACCCTGAGTCTGCTTGGCCACATGCAGAAAATATCAGTAAATAAAGGCCACAAAACCAGGGGCCTCTGTAACATCGGCCTGTCTTTCTTCCACCTGCCGAAGGTGCCTTGGCTGTGGAAGGCGTCGATGTTTCCTCCCAGGGAGGGACAGAATGCCCTGGACTCCAAGTCCCTGAGGCACCCAGGACAAGCTGTCCCCCACCATTAACTCAGGGCAGAGCAGGACTAGCACAGACATACTGGCGAGGGAGGTGGTTTAGGCGGCAGTGAGTCCTGAGGTGGTACCACATGCTAACTGGGCCCCAGTGGCGAGTGACTTATGGAGGACGGTTCCCCATGTGCTGGTAGGCGCAGCAGGAGCCACCTTGCCCCCGTGAACTCACCCAGGTGAGCAGCAGGGTTGAGGAAGTTGCTGTGATGAGGAGGTGGCCCAAAAGGGGTCCCGGTGGGGTGTGCAGCACCTGGTGAGTCAAACACCACCAAGGTCAGGGCTTACAGAAAGCAGCTTCGAGGAGAAGCCTGCTTCAGCAGGCCTGGGGACCCCAGGAAGTCTGCTGGGGTGAGGCCCATGCCTGCGTGGCCCCTCTCCTCTTTCCCAGGCAGGCAGAGCCTCGCCTTGGGTGCCAGGAAGAGCCAGCTTCCTTGTGGATTCAGTAGCAAACCCCGTGCCTGCAGGGCATCCTGGTCCATGCTGAGGCTGCCTTCCTCACAGGTTCCCCCTATCTGCATTTGCTTATCAACTCTTTATCACACCTGATATGTATGCTTGTAAGTCACCTCAAATCCTTCTCCTGAGGAGGCTGGGAAAGGAAGGAAAGAAGGAAAGGGAGGACCAGATGTGCATGAGTTAGGGAAGGATAATGCTTCCATAGCTCAGGCCATGGGGCGGGGCCACTCACTGCTCAGAGTCAGGGGGTGTGGCCTGGAGGGGCGTGGCACCGAGGGAACTCCACCCTGCTGTGTATATCAGGCATTAGTCTCTGACAGTGAGATAAAAATGCCGAATTTAACTAACATTAACTAGTAATAAATACCAGGTTAAAGTTTTATCATATAACCATTTTGGGGCAAAATTCAAGCGTAATCAGTACCTATATTTACCCATCTATCAACAAGGTTCCATAATGCCTGGCATTTTGTCTAAGTTCCTATAAATAAGTGGAAATTCCCTCAAGAAAAGACAGTGCAGGAGGGCTGTCCCTGGGCTGCCAGGACCACCAGCACGGGAGAAGTGTGGGTCAGGCACTGCCTCTCAGCATCTGAAGGGACCTGGGCTGTGGTCCACCTGGTGGCTTTTTTTCCACCTGGGAGTGCAGAGAGGATCCCCCAGCTCCACAGCATGCGCATGCTCTGGGACGTTCCGAGGGCCCACAGCTTGCCAACTCAATGGACTTTTGGCCACATGCTGTCTGCAGTGCAAGCTCCTGAGAGCTTCAGTGGAGACCATGCTTCACTCCACCCAGGCCCCAGGGATGCCTACAGTTCCAGAATTATCAAAGCAAAAGATGCAATTCATCTACTTTGGCTCAAATGAAAGCCAGGGAGAAATCTATTTCTCTCCAAAAACTGCTCTTAGTGTGGCCATGTCTCGGAGCCAGATTCCATGGCAACAGAGCCTTCAAATGTGACAGAAACAACAGGAAAGCCAGAGACCTCAGCAGATTCCTCTGACCCTCAAGAGTGGTCCCCTTGCTCTGGCAACAAGGCCTAGGATGAGGATTCTCGCAACTCTCTCTGCCTCTGTGGGAGACCATGTGCCCCCAACATGAGCCATGGGCGGCAGCAGGCCAGCCAGTGAAGCAGGGAGCCCATCAACACTCAAGTCCACAGTGGGCATGAAGCCACTTGTCACCAGAGTCAGCCTAGTGCTGCTGTTTTTAAGTATTTACGGAAGCCAGGTGGCCCACCTTCTCTATCACAGCCCAACCACTGACAAACAGCTCAGTTGGGTTTCTTTACCATTAGACCCTGAAACACAGCCAAGTGTAGTGTCACAGTGCAAAGCCACCCCTTGCCCGTGCATGTCCCCACAGTTCCTGGCACCCCCTTTACTTCTGACTGGCCCTTGGATCTTCCCTCTTTCTCAGTGGCATCTGACAGTCTGACGTGCTGTGGGTTGCACTGGTTTGGTACACACAGCTCCAGAGTCCCTGCAGGGGAGGACGGTCTCTTTCCCTTCCAGGTGTACCAGGATGCCGTTTAGGTGGTGAGTGAGTGAGAGCACAGGGCCCAGACCTATCTGTTTGGCTACCTGAAGACCACATTTCTCACTCCATTGCCCCCTGAACTCACCAGAGGCAGAGAACAAAGTTGAAGGTCGAGCCAGGTCATGGGGGTGGTGGATGGCTCCAAAGAGACTGGGGCCTGGTGGACGGCTTAGGAACTCAGGCTTCAGTCCGAAGTCCAGCTTGTGTGGGTCTGACTGCATCTGCTTCTGCAGTGGCAAGGGGACAACAGAAGATGACATTCCAAGTGAGCAGCAGGAGAGATTCACTCAGAGCCTGAGACCATGGGAGTGGGCTCTTGGAACGGTCCACATCTGGGCACTGGCCCTGGTGAAGGTCAAGTTTAGGAAGCCGGGAGAACTAGGTGATCCTCATGGGCAGAAGCGGGTCCACCTAGGAGGGGTCAGCAGGGACTGCTGCAGGGGAGTGCCTAGTTCTCTAGAAGAAGAAGCACCGAGGGCAGGCCTGGAGCCTGGCTGGAGGCTGGCCTGTGGCTATTTGATCAGGGAGGGCAGCCACATCCTGTTCACTCAACTGGTACTGCTGAGTGGTTTACTATATTGCTGTAAAGGTCCATTTTAGAAAGTTTTAAAATAATAGCATTTTAAAGCTCATTTTATTAGGAATTCTGTGTGAATAATCTGCTGTGTAAATTAATTGTTTAATGCCTCTTAGCCATACTCTAATAGATTACAGCACATTAGTAACTGAACATTATGAAGAAATATTTGCATGCCTACAAGCTAATTTTCTAATGATCACTGTTACATAAAAAAAAACAAAAAAACAAAAAAACAAGATGAAAGCAAAGTAGGCGTATAAGTTTAACTAATGGGGGTGTTTCTACTTAGGACTACCCCAATCACCGGAAGAGGAGGAGGAGGAGGAGGAGAGGAAGGGGGGGGAGGAGGAGGAGAAGGAAGGGGAGGGGGGGAGG